GTTTACGGGTTTAGGGTTTGAGGTTTTAGGGTTTATGGGTTTAGGGTTTAAGTTTTTTGGGTTTAGGGTTTTGGGGTTTTTTAACACTCACACTCGGACAAGCCTGGCAAGGTCTGGGTTTAGGGTGTAGGATGTTCGCATAATGTAGATAACAGTCAGACTATAGCTACACATAGATAGTACAAGCGCAAGCTAATGTATGCTGATTACCTGTCACATCAACAGCAAAAATATGCACAAATCATTCAACCCTGTTGCAGCTCAAGTGGCGAAAGACGCAAAACTGGGCAGCTGAAGCCTGGTAGAACCCTCAAACACCTGGGTATTGGGGTCTAGGGTGTTTCTTTGGAAATACACACACACAAAAGACTTCGGTTGAGGCGTATATTGCTAAACTAGCAAGACCTTGCACTGCAAAGGGGCTCCCAAATTACTAGTATGAGACTCAGGGGCCCAACAGAAACAGTCGGCTCATTGCAGGCAGCATCCGAAAGCTGAGTTTCGTACTGATTGGGCACTGGGTGTGCTCCCTCCTTTCATGCAACTTCGTGACACTTGTTTAAGGGTTCTGTGGGCTGCTTGTTCGGGAGCACAACAGGGAACGCGGCAATTTCACTTCGGGGTTTAGTTTTGGGCTTGCATTGCGGCAGAGGCATCGGTCTGATTGCGGCTACGAAGTACACTGGTTTCAGCACTGTTCATGTGTCTATCAAAAACCTCCCATAGGCTGCAGACGTCGACCGGAATTTCATCCTCGAACCTTGGCCAGTGCAAACATCAAATCTGACATGTTTCATATATCCAGGTCCTGAAGATCCCACCCAGCCACACAATATCAACTCCAGGTCCCCTTTACTCAGGGCCAGTACCTCCAGCGTCATGTGCACAGATTCTCCTTGTTATATCATCTTGTGTATTATTTTTCCAAGCCTCTCCCGCCGCCGGCAAGTCAGGGCAATAGCATACAACCATTGTATTACCTTGCATTAGGTTAATTAGGTTGTATTGTATTCACAGGTATCGTTGCTGAGGGCCGAGCGCATCGACAGCTGGCTCTGCGGCCGACTGGCCTCGACTCACTTCTCGGAGTCTGGGCTTGGACTAAGGAGGCAGCGCGTTTCGACTCTCACACTCGCACACGGCAGGCAAGGCGTGCTGCCTTCGGGCTTAATTAGGGGTTTAGGGTTTAGGCCCTGTTTGTTTCAGAAGAAGCCACACATCAAAGACTGCGTTTTGAGCGCGTGCTAGGCTGGCTCGGAATCGATGGCTCTCGATCTGAGGAGTCTCCTCTAACCCGTCCCTCAGAACGACCCTGCTGGCAGGACCTGCGCCACGAGGAGGCTTTAGATTTTTGGGGGTTGCTCGGAGCTTTGGGATGATCTGCCAGGCCGTCAGCTCTAATTGTAAGTCGAGGCCTGGACGTGGGAGACAAACGACATGCAAGCTCTCTGCGATATATGGAGTTTTAGAAAACAAGGCATCCATCCAATGCAAAGCCGAAATTGTAAAGCTGTAAGGCCTACTGCAAGGCCCTTACTCCATGGTAACGACCCATCAAGAGCATGCCTGATGCCCCAATTTCCTGAACCTCGTTTCGAACGCCTCAGAGAGGTCGTGCACCCGAATGTTGATCTCGGTGAACTGTTGCTGGATCTGCTGGATTTGCCATGCCTGGGAATTGCTGCTGACCTTGGAGGCCTACTGCCTCTGCCTGCAGCAGTTCTTCTATCGCCGAGTAATACAAGCTCCTATAGCATTCATAGAATTCCTGAGTGGGTCTAGAGAGAATCGAATCTCACTCCGGCCCCGCCTCGAGATCCCAGAGCCCCTTGCCACCGCGGCAGTGCACCGGCCGCAGCAACTCCACCGCCTTGGAGATCACGTGGCAAATCCTTGGCAAGGTCTGCACTGTGAGCAGATTCAGGGGAAGCAATGCGAAGCACTTGGTGCATGATGTCAACTACCGCGTCGGTACTTTATAGCAGACGCCATGCCCGCGCTTGACGGGCCAAGCCAAACAGCTTGTGCTCATCAAGTGAGCACTCACAACAAAGTCGTAAAGTCACACTCCCATCTCTTTGTCTCTCTCTCTCTCTCTCTTGCAGATTGCAAACTCAGGCTTGCCAGCTGCAGGCTTTCAGTGACACAACGTCCTTTAAACTTACCCTCCCCATGCCACCAATGGAACCTTCCCAAGATTCTACGAGAGCTGCGCCTAAAAACCGAAACCGTTTTTCGCGGCCAGGGAGCGGGCCTCGAGCCCAAACGTAGCCGGGCACGCAGCCCTGCCGGTTGTCGTTGTAGCTTCGCGTCTCTTCGTTTCTTCGTGTCATCGTTTCCACAGTTCTAGGCCAGGCCCGCTTAAAGGTTGAAACGAGAAGCGGTTACAGTTTGAAGGTGTCTGGTTTCGGGATGATCTTGACAGGTCTGTAAGCTCGGAAGATCAGTGCATCCTTTCTTTGGTCGAAATGAAGGAAGCATTGGATGCCTGAACCCTAAATCTAGGGGCCTTAATAATTAGAATAGGGCTTTGGGTGTTCCTTATTACAGTTATAGTATAATACTTCTGAACACCCAAAAAAGCATCAACACGGAAGCGGCGGCCTGGGGAGTGGTGTGGCTGTGCACGTAGAACAAACCTTATGAGGGCAACATCTTCTCCTTTTTAGGTGCTTTCTGATCGACAATCCGAGCCAAATCCGACCCCGAACTCGGATTTTCTCCGAAGCTCGGCAGAACTGTTGTGTCTAACTCGGCGTTGCAAGTTAAGATCAGCTGAGTCACCCAGAATTGCACCATGTGGTAGAGAGTCCTGGGTAGACAGCACCACTGCGGCAGAAAGGGAGCTACGACGGGCTGCACTGCGACATTTTCCGAGAACCGTCTGCTCCTCTGGCGGAGCCTCCGGCCACACAACCCGGATCCGCGCGGCACGGTCCTGGCGGTTCGCGCAGTTTCGCTGGGCTCAGCAAGCAAGTTCTGTCTTTCTGAGAGGTTAAGGGGCAGCCGTACGTTCCACCGGTCCCATAAAATCAATGCGTGAGCCCTCCAACACGCTTATCAAGCTGTCTCACACTGAACGACCATGATCCCACTCTCGATTGATTGCCTGCGATTTGTGTAGGCAGAGGGTCAGTAGCTCATTGGCTCGGTCCCTCTTCTGAGGCAGTCGCTCCTGGTGCTCTGGTCTGGCTTAGGCCGATGCTCGCAGCTGAACTCGAAAAAAGGTATCCTCGTTGATGTGCTGGGAGCCGGAGTGGATGGCATACCAGCCTTCCGGGATCCTTCCGAAACAAAGGAGACTTCTGGGCCACTAGGGTCCCCACGTCTTTATACTCAAGCATGCCACGGCTCCTCCACGCCCGGTTCTCGATCCTTACACGGCAGCGAGGTCAGTCTTGCAGAACACTCGAACTAGATCTCACATCTGCTTCGACTCAAAGGTGGGTGTTCTGGCTGCGAGGCTGCACCACTGATAGTTGGAAGAGATCGTGATCACGTCGAACCCTAAATCCTAAACCTCGTGGTTCGACGAGGCTTTGTTGAAACCCCAAGCTGCCCTGACGCCTGAGCACCAGCCCAGTGGCAGCTTGCGACCTCGAAGGATGGCGAGGACCTGCTGCGCGCCCTGGCGGCCATCATCTACTATAATGCACTATACTAGTCGACTGCATGGCTTGAACTCGTCAACAGCATCTGACCGCACACCATCCATGTTCAACATCAGCACGTCGTGGTGGCATCGCTGTTTACGGGAGGGTGCCGGATGCATCTTCTCATAGCTTATAGAAGCTAAACCCCTAAACACCTTTCCGGCCTGAAGTGTCAATGCTTTCCGGGCCGTCAGCAGCTCCGGATCCTGTGCCGAGGGCACTGGAAACACTGGAAAAAGCGGCTCTTTCCCCACTATTCTCGAAAATGTGACAGGCGACTCGTATCACTATACTGTACGGTCGACTATGGAATATCGGTGATTCTAGCATAGGCTCCTCATTCGGAACGTTTGAGGGCCTCGAGCGAAGCAGACCTCTTCTACAACATGTCCTGTCTTCCTTGAGCTCCACACGGCAGTTTTTCAGTTTTGGGGCCTCCCGTGCTTGCTGCATCGGCAAGGCTGAAGTGGGCTTTCCCAAGCCTCAGTCAGGTCTGAGAGACTACTCCAAAGCTTAAGCCGAAGTTTTCGCTCAAAGGCTTATTGCCGTATAATACCTTCCAGACTTCTCCCGACGTAACTATCTTCAAAGTGCGATCTGACGAGAGGCTCAACGGGGTCATCGGAGCCGTCGGAGCAGGCGGCGAATGATAAGCCAAAGGCTCCACCGCGGGCTTGTGGGGCTGCCCGAAGTTGGTGACAGGAACATCGGGAGCGTTGTTAGCTCCCTGAGCTTCACATCCTCAGTGTAAGTCTTGGACAAGTTCTCTGCGGGCAGCTCGGAGCCTTCTGAGCTTTGCCCCTCACTGGAACTAGCATCAGCAAAGCATCTTCGCGGCATGGCCGAGTAGAACGACCTCGCTGGCAGGCAGGTATTCTGGCCCTCGCCATCACGAGCCGGCTGCCCGTCGCATGGAGTCACATTTGCCAGTGGATGGCTCCTGGCAGATACGACGTCCAACGAGGCGGGCAGGCCATGTGCATCGGCGAAGAGTCTAGAGACTTAAGCTCCTGTCCGCATCGGCCGTCTTGGCCGGTTGCCGGGCAGGCTTCTTGATGTTGTAGAACGTCTGGGCCTCAAGGAGTGGTCGCAGAACCACCACAGAGCGGTTGAACAAGCTAGGAAAACGCTTTATTTGTTCACGATATGATGTAATATATTATACGATGACCAGCTATACTATACTATACTATGCTATGCTATACTATATACCAGACTATACGGCATGAGCTCGGCCTTCGCTAGCTGGTCGAAAAGCGGCAGCAACTGTTTCAGGCTCGGCTCCTTGCTGAGAGGGGCCTGTTAAAGGGCTTCGGGTGTAAAGTCTGTTTGGTTTTGGGTTTTGGGTTTAGGGTCTGTTAAACCCCTGTCTATCAGAAATGGTGTCACCTGTGGCCGAAAGTTTGCATGGATGGGCCATGATGAGCCATGGGCCCTTGGGCTGTGTTCTCCTTCTGCCTACGAATTGCTGAGTAGGATCCTAGGAGCAACGCTAAGCTTGGTGCCTTGAGCTCGCCTTGTCCGGTGATCATCCAGCCAGCTTCGGCTTTGCCCGTGGAGTGACACTGCCATACGCCTACCAACCTCATGTAATATACATTGCGTTGATATTCCCAGGGTTCGCACTCAACTTCTTAGTGGCGGTTTTTCATCCGATAGTGGTATCCCAGCTGCTCACTATTCTGCATGGTGGCGCTTTCTCTCCGTTTCTGCACAGCCAATGTCTTCGTGACATGCAATCTGTCGACGCGGTATGTTCGTGTTTTGACGTGACTGGGAATCGCTGTCAGATTTCTTAAAAGTCTTCCAACAGGAAAGTCCGAAACACTCCTGAGCACAAAATCTGCATTAACAGTACTTGCGGGGCCACATACACCCGAAGTCGAGTCACATCAATGTCGATCTCCTCGCTCAATCTTCGGCCCCTCGCCGTAAGCAATGAGGTATGCAAACGCTGCGCTCAACTGATCAACAGAAAGGAACTGCACCTTCTCGTTGAGACATGCAAGGACAACAACAATTGATTTCATGTGGATACTCACTGGCTTGTGCCTTCGGCCGAGGCTGCCGCAGCCGCAAGTGTCCCAGGTGTCCCAGCACACATCGAGCGGAATGCTGTCACGCATGCCGGGCTGCTTCCTCAGCTGTTGACTCCATACGGAGCGTGTCTCGTACTGCTCATCTTGCTTGGCTCTTCCCGGTGGAAGGTGGGCTGCCCGGCCCGGGAGTTCAGCCAATTCATTCAAGCCTCACTCGAAGAGTTCGCGGCACCTGCTCATGCCTTTGCAGGGGGGGGGTGTGCTAGGTGTTTGTCATTTGCCAACAGTCAGGAAGCTGCCTTGGCGGGAACATTTCAAGATGGAGAAACACTGCTTGGAGATCGGAATGCTGTGTCGTGAGCCCACGAGCGAGATGGTGCGACATTTTTGCATGTCGCACCAGGGTTTACACGAGCCTGCTGGCCGTAAGAATAAGCTTCGTAGTGGTCAAGAAGAGAGCAAGCCAACCAATGTTTTGACAGAACCGCTGCCAGCATGTTGTAGCCCGACGGTGAAAAGCTGCATGAAGTGGACGTGCAAAGTTGCATCTGTGTTAACGGCACAACTTCATGCAACTAAGGCCCAACCGCCCACCGTCCGCAGTACTATGTTATCACGATTGCTTCTGAGCCCCTTAAGGAAACGGGCAAACGTCTCGAAGCGCTTCAACTTGAGAGACTCCCTCCATGAAGATTCCCAGCGGCTCATTCACGAAGAGAATGACAGAGATTCGCTTCCCGAAGCCGGCGGGTGACTTTGCCGCAGGCACCGAGTGTTTGAAGAAGTTGTTGAAAGGCCTTTCGGGACTCAACGGGTCGGTGAACGGGAAGCCAGATGGGTGGTTTCGACTTTAGGGCTAAGACCCTAAAGACCTGAACCCTAAGAGTTTAGGGGGTGGCAGAACCCAAAACCTGGATCCAATTACTTTCTGTCGAAAAGCAAAACCGACTGAAAAGAGCCGAGGGGACTCATCGAAGGCGAAGATGTCGCCATTCTGCTGAAGCACATGATGCTCTCCTCCGGCCAAAGCCGCTATCAGGGCTTTGTGCCTCCCTTGTAGCTGCAGTAGTACGGTTTAGGGCTTAGGGTTTAGGGTTTAGGGTTTAGTAGTTTACATGACCTGCCCCCTAAATCCTGTTCTGACCAGATCGGCCCACTGCAAAGTCAGACACCTGCGCACGGCTGCCGACCCCTAGTGGCCCTAGTTGCTCAGAGCTACACCTCACCCCAGAGCCTATTCGGTTATAAAGCTTGTCGGCGTTCCCAGATCCTCAAAATATCCCGGAACTATTAACGAATGTCGCCTCCGAATGCTTGGGATCCAAAAAACCCTGAATAACAAGGTCTCCTAAATAGGGGATATTGGAGTTTCGCAATTCCTGAACCCGAACAATCAGATTACTGGCTTTCGGGTCCTTGTGTCCGTGCATCCTGGAAGGCCAAAGCCCGCACCTCAGGGGGCTTCTGCTCGCTCTCTCTCTCCCTTTCGCTCTCTTTGTCTCTCTCTCCCTCTCTTCTTCTGCAGGGCTATGTGGGATGTGCGAAATCTCCCGGCCGCCAGGGTCCTCCCTTTGTTATGAAGCTTTCAGGGGATTGTGAAATCAGGTTCGGGGTCACATACTCTATATAGAACTGATTAGAGAGAACGGCGAAAGAAACATGTTCCCCAAACGGTTCTAAAACTTGCGCCAATAGGCTATGTGTCCTTCCCCGCATGGTAACCTAACTAAGAACAAAACCACCAGCTTGGAGGACATATGTAGGCTTTCGGTCCGCGGGTTTTGCACCAACGGCACTGCACATGGAATCCTGTTGTGGGACAGTGCTGTGCTGTAGCTAGGTAAACGAAATTCCATCGCACTTTTCATTGGATGTCACATACTCGACAAGTCACTGCATGTAAATTATCCTTGGAACTCTCTGCGGACATGTCGAGAGCGAAACAACTGCACTACCAAAAGTCGGGGCTTTCTCTCTCTCTCTCACTAGACTACAACATAATATAACATAAGTTACACAGAAGAGAGGAGCCTCTTGCATCTTGTTCGTGCTCACAACATATCGCACAATACATTCATGTAATCTGTCTACCTGTTTGGCAGTGTTCTGTCGTAGCCCTGGCTTAGCAGCCAAAGGGCATGCAGGTCTTGACCCTAAAAGCCCGCACCAGTAAAACCCTTAACGCTCATTGGAACGCCTACACTAGATCCCTCTTTGATGCCAAAAACCTGAAACCCTAGACCGTCCCTAAAAACCCCAAACCGTCCCAAAACCCAAGACCCAAAACGGGGTTTAGGTTTTATTTAAGCCTCACACCCTGCTTTGAAAGGCGCCTGGCCGAGGCTTAAGCCGATGGTGGCCGTAGGCCTGCCGTTGTCTGCGGGGAACCGGGCAAGTTTTAGAGCGTGTGGGCTGGGGATTATGGTATCAGGGTTTAAGGTTCTTTCAGGTGTGGGAGCCCCAGTTATCTGAGTTCTTGTTTTGTAGGGTTTTGGGTTTTACAAGGCTCATTGAACCTACCACCATACGGGAAGCACATGGCCTGCAACATATTTCATCACGGCAACTGAGAATTAAGAGCCTAGACATTGGTGATCCAGACTCGAGATTTCTGCGTCTTACCGGAGTGGTGGATTGCACGGCACCATGCTTCACCGGATCGTCTAGTCGCGCGCCAATGCGAAAGCGTTTCGCAGTACTGATATTCGGTAGGGCGTTCCATCTGGATCCGAACACTGGAGGTTGAACCCTTACCCTGATTATTCACAACCCCCCTCCCCAATATGAAGAATGTGGGATTTTGCGGTTTGGGTCCCCGTTCTTGAAGCCCAATGCAGGAAACCTATTCGGGGGCAACCAGGACCAGTGGACGCCACTGCCATTTACAATTAAGAGAATTGCCAGTTGTGGTACTGCTGCTGGTGCTATACTAGGAACATTGCCGTTCCTACGCTGTACTTCCCGTCCCCTTCTCAACAACCGGTTAGTTCCAAATTCCAGCTCAAACGGCAGCTGAGTGTGCATGGATGAGTTGCCTCGGGCTCCAGTCTTGGTAGTTGTCATGATGCCAGGACTTGAAGTCGTCTTCCTGTTCGGGCTTTGGAACAGTTGTTCCGGACGTGACTCAACATCAGCTAAACGGCGAAGGTCCGACTGCGACATTGACATGAGCTTAGATGTCAGCTGAGAAACGCATCGATACAGATTGGCCCAGCAGTCTACCAGGGTGAGGTCGAACATCGCCAGCGCGCGCGTGATCCTGATCTGGGTGAGGAAAATCCCAATGGAGTTAGGACGAGACCAGGAAGTAGAGGGGCCAAACTAATTAGTATTGCAATTCCTTACAGTAGGGTTCCTTGTGATGACTAGACTATAGATGTATGTATGCATACTACACTTAGTGGTACCATTGCGTCGGGTTCCGTGTCATAACCAAAACTCTAATCCAGCCCCCCCCCCCCCCCCCCCC